TTATTTACTTCTCATTATTCTAAAAAACTAGGTCTGAGCCCTCTTCTGCTGCTAATCTTGGGTCAGTGGTTCTCCCTCCACTCCTCAGTGGAGTCCTCTGAAGAGCATTTGAAACCCAAGGCTGCCAGCACTGAGGAGTTGAGAGAACGAGCTGTTACTTAGAGGCCATCTAGTGCTTCAGCAGCAAGTACCTGGCCATCCACAGCTACACAGCAAGACCCTGACTAAAAACACGAAATAACACTATCACACCCACGCACGCACAGCCACCCGCCTGCAAGCACAAAACAAAACACAAGCAAAACCAAAACCATTAAACCCCACATGGCTGCAATTCAGACCAAATAAATACAAACAGAAATTTCTTAGCTGGCCCTTAGCGTTAGTTGTTTTTTGGTGTTTTGTTTTTTTTTTAATGTGTGTGTTCGTGTGTGCACACTTGCAAATGTGTGCAGGGGTACATGTATGTGTGCTGTTGGGTGTGCTCATGTTCATACAGAGAAGCCACAGAAGGGCACCAGGGTCTCTCACTGAATCTGGAGCCGGGACAGCAAGTTCCGGTGGTCCTCCTGTCTCTATCACAGGTGACTCGACCGCCATCATAGAGGTTTTCACATAGATGCTGGAGATTCCAATTCAGATCCTCCTACTTGTGCAGCTATATCCCCACCCAACATACTCATTTTCTTTTTGGTTTTACATTGGATATATTATGTATTTTTTCAGTGTTTCCAATGTAAAACCCAAAAGAAAAATGATTCTCTCTTGACGAGGAATTACACATTAACAAGCACAAAGAATGAGGCCAGCAAGTTGGTTCAGCTGGTAAAAGCACTTGCATTGCAAGCCTGAGTTTGATTCTCAGAACTGTGCAGTGCCAGCACTCCGACAGCCAGATGGGAGATGGAGAGAGAGAGAAAAAAAAAAATCACCAAAAAGCTCATGGGCCAGCAAGCCTAGAAGAGGCAGCACAGGAAAAACAACAAAGATCCTCTATCAACAAGGAGAAAACCAACTCCTAAAAGTCACCCTTTGACTTCCATATGTGCACACACACGCATGTCCACACACTCACTCTCACACAATACAGAAGAAGTTAAACAAGCCAGGCACACGTTCTAGGGAGTGGCTGACTGGGATCAGTCGTGAGTTACCTCCGATCACTGTTACAATACAAGAAATATGATTTAGTATGTCATCCATTTTCCCTCTCTCTAAAAACCTTCAACAAATGCAGAATTAATGATAAAACCACATGGGCAAGCTAAAACATCTGTGAGCTAGATTCTGTGTTCAGCTACTGGTTCGCAACCTCTGAAATGAGTCATTTCATCCATATACTTCAACCTAAACCTACAAATTTGTGCTTCCATTTCTATGTTTTTCCCTATGGGTTCTGAACTGCCAAGTATGTATATGACACGTTGACATGAAAGTTTAGCATCCTGATGTGATCTATGATTTTACTCCATTTCAAAACTATCCTTCTCATGTTCTCAAATTCAGGGAACACTCCACTATTCACACACTGGGGCAAGCTAGTGCTCTGAAGTACACCTTAGGAAGTTACTTTTCTACCCTCAACATATGTGCCATTATCTTCTTCTAAATCCTATCCAACCATGCCTCTTAAATACATCTCAAATATACATAAACTTCTTTCTAGTGCCATTATTATCATTCTAGTCCCAGTTACCATTTTTTATGCCTTAGCTACCTTGTTCAAATAAGTTTTTCCATATGACGATCTTTCACAAGCATATTTGGTCCAGTCCCTTTTCTGTCAATTTATCCCAGAAATATACCCATACACATTTGAACTGGCATATCCATAGTGCTGTCTGTAGTAAGTTAGAAACATTTATATGCCCATCACTAGGGGACAGCTAAACAATCAATATTATAGCCATACAATGAAGTACTATATAATCATTCAAAAATAAATGATATATATATATGTGAAATTTTAAAATAAAATCCCAGATATATGAGATATATATGTAAAATATATATCAAATGGGTAAATTCCCAAGGGGCTGTTAAGAGAACACAGTGTGCTGCCATTGGTGTAAACAGGATGCCTATCAAAAAAAAAAAAAAAAAAAAAAAAAAAAAGAGAAAGTCCACAATAATACGCAGTTAATGCTTTACTTTCACACATAAGATTTGCATGTGTTGAAATGTAGCTTAACATTCTGCATAGTGAAGGGGCTATCTGACTTATCTGGGTCTGAGTTAATCTGGCCTTAAGGTTCAGCTGAAACGACATATCCTCAGTGAAAGGAAGTGTTGCCTGAGCAGGAAGAGAATAAAAGTTGGGCAGTTGTGGAGTACAGAATATTTGAAGGTAAGAACTTAAGCTTGTCATTTCAGAGCAGTGTAGTCTCCGTTGAACTGGCCTCTGTCTCCATTCAACAAGCAACTCAAGCTTTACATTTCTGAAACTCTTCTTGACATCCTCCTAACTCTGCCCCCACCAACAAAAGTAACAACCAAAACTTATCAGAGTAAGGAGTAGAACTGACTAGCATTGAGTAGAATTGAATTTCATCATCCGCTCACTCAGGGTTTTTCATACGTGGCGCTGTTCACATTTTACACCAGGATAATACTTTGTTGTAGCAGCCTATCCTGTGCAGGAGAGGATGGTTCGCCGCATTCCTGACTTGTAACACTAGCTGTTAGTTGCACTACACACGTAATTAATGACAATCAAAAATGCTTCTAGACATTGCCAGGTATCCCCTGAGAAGGGCCAAGCTATCCCTAGTTTAAAACCCCTGTTGTAAACTGACTGCTTCTTTAGTACCAGGACACTGCATTGCCCTTGTTTGCTTTTGTATTGACTTTGTCTGCTTTTCTAAGCTTGAGGGCAAGAGAAGTCATTTATTTAATATGTTGAAACCTAGTTTGCAAACTGTAAGGTGTAGGTTAGGTCTAGGAATACAAAGGTAAAAGCAACTGCTATGGTCTCTGCACTTCTGGTTCTGATATTCCAAAGAGGTAGTGGTGTAAATGTATGTAATTCTACAGTTATCTCGTTACAGCAATATTAAATTCCCAGAGGAGAAGTGCAGGTTTCCCTGAGTACCTAAAAGGTTAATCTTGACCTAGTCTGGAAACTGAGGATTGTTTCTTTGGGAGAAATAACATTTGAGATGGGCTCAGAAGGCTAATTATGCAATTGGTAAGCAAAACTTAGGGGGACAACATTCTACACAGAAGGAAGAACTGTGAACCAGAAGACAGAAACAGGTAGTTTCTCCCTGGGAACCCAGAAGCTAGTATGGCTGGAACTTGAAGAATTAGGGGGCAGAATGATATTAGATAAGTAGAAAAGCAGGCAGAAGTTATCTGCTGCTGATTTTTCAACGTAACCACTAGAATCATGCAAGGAACTTAAACAGTGCCAGGGCCCTTCTCTAGCTCTATCAAGTAGCAATACCTTCTACTCTAGCCTCTTTCCTCATGCCTTCTGAAGAGATAACCACTGATAATGGTTTTTGGTTGTTGGTGTATAAAGCTATTACTGAACCCAACAGCTACACTGCCCCTGGTAAGGCTTTTCCCAAAGCTTTTCTATTAAAAACAAACAAACAAACAAACAAACAAACCCCAAACCAAAGAAAACAGAAAACAAAACTTTGTATTCCTGACCCAAAAAAGATCTAAGTCTCCTATACACACACACACACACACACACACACACACACACACACACACACACGTATCTTATCACATAAGATATGGCAAGACAGCCCTTTGAATGCAATAAATGTGAATTAATTTCGTGCAAATCAGGAGCCATCTATAGATTTTTTAAAAAGCCTTTAGTAACCGCCATGGAGACTAGTGAAAGAAATTGAGATAATTTTTTTTAACGGTGCCAAGGAAAGCCCTGTGTTTTCCTACAACACGAGTCTGCTGTCTGCTTAGCTGGACACCCATGCTCTGACCTAGTATGGCAATTTTTAGGGTCTCTGTGCTTGATGCTCTGTTTACAAGAAAACTGAGGCCAGACACTAAGGAAGAACAAAGAAAAATGCCTGGCACCAAAGAGGCGGGAGACGTTTTGTACATAAATGAAGATCCGAGGAGGAACTCTTCTCAGATTTTGAAAGGCACTACAAATCACCCTCTCCGCTTACGTGTTAAAGCACCTATTCTGCGATTCCAAACTGTTCTCTACAAAGAAAATAACGTATAATTTACAAGCAGCAATTTGTCTTTCTCCCCCTGCCCCCCTTCCCTCCGCGTTTGCAGACCATCAGGCGGGATAAAATTTCCCCTAGGCTTTATCAGAGTGGGAGGAATGGAAATAATGTATGCACAACACAGTTCCGATGCAACATCAACTCCAAGCCCGGCCAGCTGGTTTCCATCGTTCTCCTGGTCCCCAAGGAGAACGCCCCTCGGAGGCGGCGGCCCGGCCGGCGCGAGCGTGGGACCGGCGGGGGAGCTCGCAGCCCGGCCGCCCGGCCGCCCTCTACCTTTGTTTCAGGTGCCCCCGTCCCCAGAGCGGCCGGGAATCCCTCCCGCAGCCCCGCACTGGCGACGCGTCCTTCTTTGGCCAAGTCGGGCTGAGGCCAGGCAGGGGGCGGGGAAGGAAAATAAAGCCTCAGCGGCGGACGACGTGACTCTCAGTTCTTCCAGAACCTTGGCATTTGCTGCCCTGCCAAGCTTTCCTGTGAACGAGGTCCCGGCCCGGGCGGCCCGCGAGGTGGGAGGCCCCAGCCACCCGCCCCCCCGTGGCGCCCTCCCCGCGGGGGGCAGCGGGACCCCCGCTCTCCGCGGCCGCCCGCCCCGGGGAGTCCCTCCCGCGAGCCTGCGGTCCGCCGGGAGCCCCTGCCCCGCGCGCGGCCCCTGCGGCCAGGCCAGTCCCCGCCCCCGGCCCCGCCCGCCCCGGCCGCCGCGCACCGCCCCTCGGCCTCTCCAGCCCGCGGCGGGCCGGGGGGCGCCGAGGGGAGCGGCGGCCTAGCGCCCCGCGTCTGTGCGCCTACCTCAGTGCCCGCCGCGCCTCCTCCAGCCGCCGCCTCGGCTCGCCCGCGACGCCGACACACCGCCCCGGCTTCCCGCGGCGCGGGGTCTGGGCCGCTTACGCCGCGCGCGAGGAGCCCAGGCCTGAGCGCGCCCCGCCCAGCCGCCCAGCCGCCCGCCAGCTCCTCGGCCCCGCCCCGGCCCCGCCCCCTTCTGCCCCGCCCCCTGGCCGTGCTCCGCCCCCTGGCCGTGCTCGCTTAACCCCTGCGAAAGGGGGCCCCCGAGGGGCGCCGCGAGAGCCGCTCAGGCCGCGGCCGTGTGACGGAGACGGCGAGTCGCAATGTTCGGCGAGTGTGTGTCTTGCTAAGGAGTATGCATTTTCTGATGACCGTCCTTATTTTTATTACCCTTCTTACTGTCCTCTTCGTTTAGCTGTCTTGCCCCTCTGGACGGTACGTGACCCATCGGTCTGCAGTCTACACTCCCTGCGGTGGTCCGCACCTTGCAGGCTCGTTTTCTTTGCACAGCCCAAGCTACGTGTCAGTTTTGAAAGAAGAGTTTTGCTTTTTTTTTTAAATTTATCTTTCAAACGATTTGTTAAGTAAAATAAAAATTGCTTAATAAACAGAACTATGTAAAACGAATGCACACCTTAGTGGTTATTCTGAAACATTTGCAGTTTTGATGCCTTAAGCTTTGACCCTAGCTAAAATAATAACCGAAGTTTGTTTATACTAATAGGGGGAAATAAATGGGCTGACTGGGCTGGGGACAGAGCTCAGTTGGTATAGTAATAAACAGCGGATAAACACACATAAACTGGGAGAGTTGACACAAGTCTGTAAAGCTCCGCAGAGGTGGAGGCCGCAAGAGAATCAGAAGTTCAAAGTCCTCCTAGGCATATATCATATATATATATATATCCTGGGCTCCATGAACACCATGGCTCAACAATAAAAATTCATGTTCATTTCTTCATTAGAAAATCAATCACACAAGCATATAGATAACAAAACAATCATATATTATTACCTATCTGTATGCAATCCTATAGATAACAAAGTCAACCAGGAGAATGACTAGTGTGAGTGACTTGCGCGCAGATAGGGATTAATTATCAGATGCAGATAAAGACTTAAAAGAGCCAAGGATGGGGCAAACTGAGGACGGGCTCCGGGTACGTGGTTTATCCCTTTCTTTCCGTCACCTGCTCTTAGCAAAGCACCAGTCGCCATACTAAGCACCTTATGTGTAGATGTGAATGCATACATCGCACGTATGCATTTATGTCTAGATGGTGCGAGCAAACAAAACGTATATAGTTTTACAGTCTGCAGCTATGTGTAAGCTCGATTATGAAAACTTTCAGTTTTAAAAGAAAAGTATGTGTACAATTGCTCCAGATAGGCTTTACTACCTAAGCCATTTCACCATGTTAATCTTTTCAAAAGGCTAAATTATGGTCTGGAAGAAGAAAAGCCATTACACGCCTAACTTAATACCTTCCTGTTTTAAAAGGCCTTCCACCTACCACACCCTGAATGTATCTTCTTTGAGTCAGAACAATCCTGTGGGGAAGGCAAGACGCAGAGAGGTGGCAAAGGTCACAGTACAGTAAGGACAGTGCATCCTGAAACAGCTTCAACACCTCACTCCCTGCTCTTATCTCAGGACCGTGCACTTAACAATTCTCACTGGAATGTGAAGGCCACAGTTCCTCCTGGGTGCGAAGGCCCACGCCTGCAATTCTGGGTAGGAAGTAGAGATCAAAAGATCAGAGGTTCAAGAATGGCCAAGGTTCATGACGAGTTTGAGGCCAGCCTGGGCTACAGGAGAATCTGTCTCAATAAATAAGGAAGCAAATAAATAAATAAAAACCCTCAGTCCAGAAAAGGACACAATTTATGCCTGAAAATGTGCTTCAGTACGATAAAAACCATCCCCCTCTGTCATAAGTATCTTGGTGAACTGCCAACTCATGACAATTTATTGGACCCGAGACTCTATGGAAGGTATTATGGATAGAAAAAAACATACAGTCTCTGCTTATGGCCAAGAAATAAAGAAATATTTGAGAATAAATGAGTAATTTGTCATTTTAATAGAGGAATAGTCTTGAACACAATTCCATTAGGGAATGGAGAGAAAGTAGTGCAAACTTTCTCATGGAAGGGGGCATCTGAAACAATTTTATGATGAAGATATCCAGCACGAATAATATCAAATATCAGGTATTTTTGCTGTAAATATTGAAAAATAAAAAATGCACAAGTAGAATTTTTTTTTAGAAGGAACAAGAAACATTATGTACTTCTTACTCAGATTTAACAACTATTATTTTATGGCTGATTTGTTCCATCTGTACTTTCCCTTTGCTTCCCTGGGTTATTTTGAAGAAAATCATAATCAGAGTATTATTTCACCTGTACATAGTTCACTATGCATCGTTTAATAATAAGGCCCACTTTAAAAGATAATCACAAAATTATTAAGGAATTCATTTCAATTAATAATTTCTAAACATAAACTTTCTTATTGTAGGACATAGTATTCCTTTTTTTAAAAAAATGTTTTATGAGTTATTTCTACAATGCAGGACCCAAGCAAAGTCCTCACGGTTCGTTCAGCTATCCTTGCTCTCTCTCTCTTAAAAAAGGTGGAAAATGTTTATTTCTATGCTTACTCATCAGTACTGGGTATTGAATCTAGGGCTTTAGTGCATGCTAGGTAAGTACTCTACCACAGAACCAAACTCCCAGCCCAGCATTTGGCTAGTCTCTTAAACTGTTTTCATTCTTTGAATGTTAAGACTTATTTTAATTACCTTAAAAGTATTCGTAGATGTATGTGTCTGTGCATGGGATTGCGCCCGTGGACGCCAGTGCTCAAAGAGTCAGGAAGAGAAAATCATATTCCCCCAACACTGGAGTTACAGGCCGCTGGGAGCATCCAGTGAGGGCCCCAGCAACCAATCCATTCTTAACAATCTTTCACCACCCTGCCAGCCAGCTCCTTCCTCCCCACGTTAGAGAGATGCATACTTTGTTCTGTGCTGTTTCCCATGTTCCAGATTTTGCTGATTACACTGCTGTGGTGTTTACCATCCGCCCATATCCCCTTTATTTCCTATGAACCGATAGAGCAAGAGGCTTGATCAGACAGGAAGATATAACCTATAATGAAAAACCAATCAAAGCATATCAAAAACTGTCGTAGATACCAGAATTAGCAGACAAAAGACATGAAGGCAGCCGCTCTATATTCAGAATGTTCAAAAAGATAGAGACAGAGAAGACATAGCAAAAGACCAAAATGTACTCTTAAAGATGAAGGCTATCGTGTTTGAGATAAAACTATGTTGAGTTGGCATACCTGTAATCATATAGCTTCTGCGATTGAGACTGAAGTATTGTGACCTCTAGGCTAGAAAGGGCTACATAGAAAATGTGTCTCAAAAAAAATAGTTGTGTACGCTGGAGCATGCTTATTATCCCAGCAATCAGGAAGCTGAGGCAGAAAAATTACTATGAGGCCGTTCTGGGCTACACAGTAAGCTAGAGGCCAGCAAAGCCACTATGTAGGAGCTTACTTACTACTTTAACAAAAATTGAATTGGACTAATGAAAAATGAAACATTGCTAAATAAAAAGATTAGTGAACTTCAAGCCGTATCAATAGAACTTGTCTAAAATGAAACATTCAAAGAAAAAATATTCTAAAAATGAAAAGAACATCAGTGCAATGTAAAACAACTATAAGTCACTTATTATGTGTAGATAGATGTCCTTGAGGGAGAGTTATGAGGGTGAAAAATGTTAGAATAGATAATATTCATAGTTTCCAAATGGCATAAAAAGCATGTACAGTTGACCCTTGGTATCTTCTGGGGTTTTGTTCTACGATTCCTCTCTACTTCATGCCAAAATTTATTCATGTTCAAATCTTATTTAAAAAGTGTAAAAGCACTTTTTTTTTGGAAATGTCTCAACAAGGCAGAAATTCACTTTTGACGAAGAAGGTGTACCACTCAGAAAAGCAGAAGAGCAAGCAGCTATAGTACTTTCCTCTAACTTGTGGACATGTTTTGTATACTTTAAATGGGGCCTAGTTATTTATAACCATTTAAATGTAATTACTATGTAAATAGTTGTTATACTGCATTATTTAGGGAATAGATAATGGGTAAAGTCTAAATATACTCAATGTCTTAGCTATTATTCTATTTTTGTGAAGAAACACCATGGCCAAAGTGTACTAGTTACTTTACTATTGCTATGATGATACTCCATGACCAAAAGCAAGTTGAGGAGGAAAGGTTTTATTTGGTTTATACTTCCATGTCCATAGTCCATCACTGAAGGAAGTCAGGACAGGGACTCAGACAAGACAGGAACCTGGAGGCAGGAGCTGATACAGAGACCATGGAAGGGTGCTGCTTACTGGCTTGCTCCTCATGGCTCAACCTGCATTCTTATAGAACCTGGGACACCAGCCCAGGTATGGCCACATCCACAATGGGTGGTGCCCGGGGCCTTTCCCCCAACAATCACTTATTATGTAAATACTGTACAGGTTTGCCTGGCATGGGCATTTGAAACCTCAAAAGTAACACACCTCCTCCAGTTAGGCCATCCTTCCTAATTCTTCCCAAACAGTTCATCAGCTGGAGACCAAGCATGCAAATATATGAGCCTACGGAGGACATTCTCATTCAAACCACTACGCTCAGCAAAGAAGCAAAGAGTTTTCTCAAATATTTTCAATGTGGGGTAGGTTGTTTGAATATAAAGCTGTAGATCCCGGATTCACATGTAGAAGAAGTTCAACAGTATCTGGCTTTCAGATCAGCAGATGGTAGACTTAAGCCAAACTCCACCAATAATTGTATTAAATATAAATGGACTAAACACTTTTAATTAAAATAACAGAGGTTGGAGAAAAAGCAAAATGCAACAATTTGTCACAAATGTGTTTTAAATACACAAACACAAGAGGTCAAAAAAGTAAGAAAGATGGAGGATCATTTACTATTCTGTCAAAATACAGTAGGTTTCAAAGTCAATAATATTATTTAGAAATAATAAAATTTATTTCGTAATAATGAAGTTATCAATTCATCCAGAGGATATAAAACTCCT